TACTTGGTTGGTGGATTTCTATCCATTTCTGCCATTCTGTATCTTTTAAGTGGAGAATTTAGGCCATTTACATTCAACATTCATATTGAGATGTGAGGTACTATTCTATTCATTATGCTAGTTGTTGCCTAAATACCTTTTTATCCCATTGTGTGTGTGTGTATGTGTGTTTGTAGGCTCTGTGAGATTTATCCTTTAAGAAGGTTCTATTTTGGTGTATTTTGAGGTTTTGTTTCAAAATTTAGAACTCCTTTTAGCATTTGTTGTAGCACTGCTTTGGCAATGGTGAATTCTCTCAGCATTTGTTTGTCTGAAAAAGATTTTTTCTCACCTTCATTTAGGAAGCTTAGTTTTTCTGGATGCAAAATTCTTGACTGACAATCATTTTGTTTCAGTAGGCTAAAATATAGGACCCTAATCCTTTCTTGCTTTTAAGGTTTCTGCTGAGAAATCACTGGTAAACTGATAGATTTTCCTTTATAGGTTACCTGATGCTTTTGTCTCACTGCTCTTAAGATTCATCTTGACTTTAGATAACCTGATGACTATGTGTGCCTAGGTGATTATCTTTTTGCAATGCATTTTCCAGGTGTGTTATTTGAGCTTCTTGTATTTGGAGATCTAGATCTCTAGCAAAATAAGGGAAAATTTTCTCAATTATTTCCTCAAATAAGTATTCTAAACTTTTAGATTTCTCTTCTTTCTTAGGAATACCAATTATTTTTAGGTTTGGCCATTTATCATAATCCCACTTTTTTTGGAGGCTTGTTCATTTTTAAAAATTATTTTTTTGTCTTTGACAGATTCAGTTAATTTGAAAACCCTGTCTTCAAGCTCTTAAGTTCTTTCTTCTTATTCTGTTGTTGAAACTGTCCAGTGGATTCTGTATTTCTCTAAGTGTGTCTTTCATTTCCAGAAGTTGTGATTTTTCTTTTCCTTATTTCTCTGGAGAACTTTTCATTCATATCCTGTATTGTTTTTTAAATTTAAGTTGTTTTTCAACTTTCTCTGGCATCTCCTTGAGTAACAATCAACCTTCTGAATTACTATTCTGGCAATTCAGAGTTTTCTTCTTGGTTTGGATCCATTGCTGGGGAGCTAGTGTGATCTTTTGGGAGTGTTATACAACCCTATTTTGTCATATTGCCAGAATTATTCTTCTGATTCCTTCTCATTTGGGTAGACTATTTCAGTGGAAAGGTCTAGAACTCAAGAACTGCTGTTCAGATTTTTTGTGCCATGGGGTCATCCCTTGATATGGGGCACTCCCCCTTCCCTTTGGTTACAGCTTCATGAGAGCTGAACTGCAGTGATTGTTATTGCTCTTCTGGGTCTAGCCACTCAGTGGGTCTACCAGGCTCTGGGCTGATGCTGGAGAATGTCTGCAAAGGGTCTCTTGAAGTGATCCATCTTCAGGTCTCCAAGCCATGGATACCAGCACCTGCTCTGGTGGAGGTGGCAGGGAGTGAAATAGCCTTCGAGAGTCCTTGGTTACAGATATGCTTAGTGTGCTGGCTTTCTTGAATGCTGGTTATGCTAACAGTGAAGTTGTCACATGGAGACTCAAGACCTCTGGTTAGCCAGGATGTTGCAGACAGTGGAATTAGCCGTTGTTTTCTCTTTCCTAGGAACAGGGTTATTCTGTAATGAGTTGCTGTAATGGCCTGAGTTGGTTGGCCTCTAGCCAGGAGGTGGTGGTTTCAAGAGAACACCAACTATGGTAGTATAAGGGGGCTATAAGCTTGCCTTAAGTTGGCCAGGATAAGCATTCAGATTTCTCAGATGAGTGAGGCCATAAAGCTCCCAAAAATATGTCTTTTGTGTTCAGTTAGCAGGGTAGAGAAGTACCGTGGTGGGGGCTGGGCAGGGGTTAGGTGGGTGTGGGCTCAGAGTCTCCTTGGGTGGGGTTTGCTGTTACCAAAGTGCAGAATGAAGGGGTGGTCCTCAGGCCAATAGGGTGATGTTCCAGTAGGGATTATGGCCACCTCTGCTGTGTCATCTAGTTCACCAGGGAAGTGGGAGATAGCCAGTAGCAAAACGCCTTACCCAGCTTCCATGCAGTTGGTGAGGCTGGTCTCTCTCCTGCAGTGCCCCACTTAGCCCTTGTCCCAGCTGTAAGCTTCCTCACTAAGAAAGTAAGCACAAGTTTCAGGCCTTACCCCTCCACGTCTGCCCACACTGTTGATGGCAGCTCCTGCACTCCTATCTGTAGCAGTTCCTGTTCATCCACTGGCTTGTGTTCAACAAAATTCATGCCCAGTCGAAATTATTCCAAATTTCAGTTGGAAGCTTCTTTCACCCTGTGAGCCCTCCCTAATTCCGCCATCTGCCTTCCCTGAGGGCCCCTGTGAAATAGAGTCAGGGATGGCTTCCCTGGGCTCGAGATGGAGACTGGGAATGCCTACAAGGCTCTTCCCATTGCTGCTTCTATTTTTGTATTTCATCCCTAAATCTGCTTCAGCTCTAGGTAAGGTTAAGTTCTTCTTCTGTGATCTGGATTTTCAGATTCTCCAGTGGGGATGTGTGTTCAGAGGTAGGTTTTCCCCCTTTCACACTTTGAGAATTCACAATTTTTTTGCCTGTCTTGCAGAATATGCAGTGGTGTTCTTCTTCTTTCAAAGGATTTGTGAATTCGTTTGGCTTCCCTGGGACATTCTTGTGGTGGTTTTGGAGCAAAAGTCCATGGTGCGAATCTCCACACTGTTCTGTCTGTCCAAGTGGGAGCTGCGTGTTAGCACTGTCTCCTATCTGCCATCTTCCTCCAGATCTACTTGGTTTTTTTAAATGACTAAAAAAAATACCTTTGTGGTGATCAAGAAAGATGAGATTTATTGAATGTGAATTTATAAATGGTGATGTGTTTATCTTCATTTGTCTGAGTTAACAGATCAAAGATTTGCAAAGCTACGATCATTGATGTATTACATTTTTGGTTCTCTTTCTGACACTTTTTTTTTTTTTTTTTTGAGATGAGTCTTGTTCTGTCGCCCAGGCTGGCGTGCAAGTGGCATGGTTTTGGCTTACCATAGCCTCTGCCTCCCAGGCTCAAGTGATCTTCCACCTCAGCCTCCTGAATAGCTTGGACTATAGGTGTGTGCCACCACTCCTGGAGAGAGAGAGAGAGAGAGAGAGAGAGAGAGAGTGAGTGTGTGTGTGTGTGTGTGTGTGTGTGTGTGTGTAGACAGGATTTTGTCATGTTTTCCAGGTGTGTATGTGTGTGTGTGTGTCTAGAAACAGGATTTTGTCATGTTTCCCAGGTGTGTGTGTGTGTGTGTGTGTGTGTATGTATGTCTAGAGACAGGATTTTGTTATGTTTCCCAGGCTGGTCTCAAACTTCTGGGCTCAAGCGATCTGCCCATATCAGCCTCCCCAAGTGCTGGGATATAGGCATGAGCTACCATGTGCGGCCTCTGACATTTGCTTTTAACTGACTTTTTCCTTTTGGTTGTATGCTTTTGAATCCTGTTCTTCCTCTCTCCCCTTAACAATTATAGGCTCCACCTGGTGGTAAACAGTTCTCTCTGTCCTGTGGCTGTTTTGAGATGTTACCCCAATGAATTTTTTCTAATCTTTGGATTCTTCCATTTAACTAGCTGTGCTGGTTTCACATTCCTTGGGAACAAATTACAAAAGGCTCTTCATAACCCACATTTACATGATTTCCTACCGTCACTGTAAAGCCCCTACTGCTGAGCCTTGCCCAGGTGTCTGGGTACTTTCAGGCCCTGCACACCCCCTTGACACACTTTCCACCTTCTAATTCAGCATTATGTTCTTCTCTCCAGCAGGGATACTGGAAAGTTCCTTTCCTCTCCCCTTCCTCTCAAAAGTCCTCCCAACTTCAAATGCTGCAATAGGTGTTCCTACTGCCCAAGCACCCTATCATCACTTCTTCATTGCACTGCACTGTGATTCTCTACTCACACTTCTGAATCTAGCACTGCCTGGTAAGCTTCAAGAGGACCATGTCTTATTCACTCCTGTAATCACAGGGTCTGCCACAGAGATGGCAGGTGCTCAGTAAATATCTGTGGCATGAATAACACTGAAAGAACAAATGAATGAAATGGAGAGTGGAAAGGGGAGAGGTGTTGTTTTTAATTACAGCTTTATTCAGATGTAATTTACCTCTGTAAAGTATATAACTCAGAGGTTTTCAGTATCATTTATTTTTGGATAATCCAATTTTAAAGAGTACTTTAATTATTGAATTGAAAATTTACGGCCGGGCGCAGTGGCTCAAGCCTGTAATCCCAGCACTTTGGGAGGCCGAGGCGGGTGGATCACGAGGTCAAGAGGTCGAGACCATCCTGGTCAACATGGTGAAACCCCGTCTCTACTAAAAATACAAAAAATTAGCTGGGCATGGTGGTGTGTGCCTGTAATCCCAACTACTCAGGAGGCTGAGGCAGGAGAACTGCCTGAACCCAGGAGGTGGAGGTTGCGGTGAGCCGAGATCGTGCCATTGCACTCCAACCTGGGTAACATGAGTGAAACTCCATCTCAAAAAAAAAGAAACCTTACAAAAATTCGGTTTATTCTGAAAGACTTTATTAAAAGCGTTTCTATTGTAAAGAACACAAAATACTTTAAGCTAGTAACAATATTTAAATACAAACATGTCAAAGGAATGAAACCTAGATGTTTTATTATGTGTGTAGGAATTATGAGCGCTTACCTGGGCTTGTGTATAACGTATAAATCTTCACCTGTTGCATGTCAGTCAGTCTCGGCAGTAACATTCCTCGTGTCTATGTGGGTGTTTCTATGTGTGACTGTGAATATCTCTAAGTAAATGGCTTAGTTGTCTCCTGGGTGCACTTGTGGGAGTGGGTATCCACTGCCACTATCATTGCTTTCTTTTTCAGAAAGTGTTTCCAATCTCTGCTTCATTTTACTCAACAGAAATGAGGAGGTTGGTTTATATTTCATGTCTTTTCTCTTTCAAATACAGCTGGTCATGCCACAGATAGTAAAGAAGAATAAAACTGTGAAAAATAAAGGATGTATTTAGAACGGCACATTCTGCTGAAAATCAAACTGACAGACACTTACTAGGGCAGGCCCTGAGTTAAGGTAGATACAAAGGAACCCAAGGCATGCCTCTCCCAGCACCAGACCTCTGACCAGGGTTGGGGAGTGTGGCATAAACACATGAAATTTTAATACCAGACAGGTAAGTATAAAACATGAGATAATAAAAAACAGGGTGATGGCTTTCAAGTGATTAAAGATAAGTGACCTTATTTTCCCAACTATAAATTATAATTGACTGTTGGACAAGCAGATGCACTTATGAAAGAAGAAACAAAAGATCTGACCCTGAGACAATGTCAGAAGCTCTTGGGCATGTGACTGCTGTAGGTGTTCAATGAGGTCAATGGGAGGAGTAAGCACTGCCAACTGGAGTTTTTGGAGAGTCTTCACTTATTCCATGGAGAGGCAAAGCTGACTGTATCTGGTTCGGTGGAGAGGAAGGCCCTGCAGGACCTAGAGAGAGCATAAGGCAAGTTTGGAGAAGAGAAGACCTGTAGTAGATGTGGAACGAAAGTAGGAACATGCCTGGGGAGAAGAATTAGGATGAAATTATGGAAGTCCACATCAATGCTTAGAGGAAGCTAAAGACATTCTTCAGAAAGAGGCAAGAAACTCCTATGTTAGCAATCAGAAATGATGGAAAAATTCAGAAGGTCTCAGGAATGGTGTTTCATGAAGACTTCCATGGCAGCAGTATGGGTTGAAGGCTGGTTTGGACATGTTAGAACCTTTAGGCAGGAGAGAGTGAGGTCTGGGTGAAAAGAGATGAGGAGCATTTCAAGAGAAAGCTATCAGGAAAGGACTCTGCTTCATCAGGAGAGTGTAGGTAACACAGAATTCCAACTCAGAGCTGTGGATACTCCAGGTAATGTCAGGACCATCCTGGTAGGAGGCAGGGGACCTGGCAGAGAGGGGAAGTTGGAGGTATGAGGCCTGGAAGGAATGTGCACATTTATGTGCACAGTGAGTGGGGAAGGAAGAAGGCTGAGGACAGAATCCTGGCAAAGGCAAGGAAGTCAGAGAAGAAAGATCTGACAGGAAGGGAATGGGAGCCAGGAGCCAGAGGCTTCTGGAGCAGAGCTTAGGGAGGAGGAAGAGTCATGCCCAGCTTTTTTTTTTTTTTTTTTTTTTTTGGTAGAGATGGGGCTTCACTATGTTGCCAAGGTTGGTCTTGATCTCCTGGGTTAAAGCTGTCTTCCTGACTCGGCCTCCCAAAGTGCTGGGATTACGGCCATGAGCCACTGTGCCCTGCCCTCCCTGCGAATTTTAGGAGCATAGGTTCAGGAGACTCTGGGAGAAAGTATGTTTTATAAGGAGGAAAGGTAGTGAAGAAATGGGAAGCAGGCTTACATCAACTGTTCTGGAATGAAGAGCTATGCATGTACAGAGGGGAGTCAGCTGCTATAGAGGAGAGGGCAAACGAAGTAGCAATATGTCTGAAGACTCAAAAAGGAGGATTAGCTGGGCAAGAAGAGAGAAGACTGAGGCAACAGAAGTGGAGGATGGCATGTTAGGAGAGGCAGAGAAGCTTTACAGCAGCTACTCACAAGGAGGATGTCACCAAGTGAGGAGGGAGAGACCAAAGCGCAGCCTCAACTCTCCCTGATAGAAGCCTGTGTTCCTTTGCTCCTGGGTTTTCCTCTCTCTGGCCCAGCCTTCCGGGGTCCTGCCTAAGATCCTGCTCTTAACACAGAGGCTGCTGTCCACAGTCTGGCTTGACTGGAGAACACCCACAGGTCAGAAACAGCCCCAGAGAGGAAGCTGAGCACAACACGAGACAGGAAGGAGAGAAGGAGGGAAGAACGAGGAAGACTGAAGAGGACCTGAAGTGAAGAGGGAAGCTTAAGGAACTTGTGAAGGTCTCAATCCTCAGCAAAGTGAGAGCAGACACAGGGGACAACCAGAAGAAAACCTTCGAGGTATGGCCCTCTGATGGGAGGGTCATTGGAGGGGACTATGAAGGCACAGAGCAGCACGACGTCTGCTGAGCTTCTGTGCACTGGCAGGGGTGGCTGCTCTGGAAACACTGCAAGGCCCTCTAGGAGACAGGTGGCAACTCACCCAAACAGCCTGAGCAAAGCGTGTATGATGGAAGGCAAGAGGCTAATGGATGTCAAGGTACTAATAGAGAATAGCTCAGCGCAGCCTACAGGTTCCAGGTGGAGTTAAAAAAAAGGCAAGGCAGGTCAGAAGTAGAGGAAAGTGAGAGGTTGAGAGAGTAGAGGTGAGAACGGCAGCAAAAAGCTGGCATGGGGGAAGGGAGGGTGGAGAATGGTTGTGAAGGGAAGGAGACAGTTTTAAAGTCTGCAATCCTAGTAGAATCAGTAGGAGTGGAGGTGTTAGAAAAATTGTGAGAATAGGGCCCTAGAAGCAAAAAAAAAAAAAAAAAAAAAAACTATGGATGTTGATGTCCCAGGAGGTGACAAAAAGAACTAAAGTGAAGACCCCTGGGAGCCACATACTAAAGTCCTTGAGGAAGATGAGGCAATTAGATGCTAGAGGATGGGTTATGTAAGGGCACTGACTTCTTTTACAATGACATCTGTCTAATTTGAGAAGGCTACATGTCTGAATGCATGAATACTACATGTTTGCCGTACCTCTTCAGAAGTCCTGAGATTTATAGATGGCATAATCACTTCCAACATCCCATTCCACTCTCTGGAAGAAGTAGACCACGATGCTTTCCAGCAGTAAGCCACTCAACACGGCCAAGAAGCAGGGCTTTCGATTGACGTTTAGGGTCACTGGAAAAGAGAAGGCAGTTCAGAATTAATGAAATGATATTGACATGTAAATTTTGGAATAGTATGAATTGTTTTGTAAAGCTGTTTTTAGAAAATCTGTATTCGCTCTTATTGATCTATGCTGTTACCTTCTCCCACTTTTCCATGTACATGTTTTTAGAGAACCAAAGGCTCTGCTTACAACAAAACACTGAGCTCCTCCTCCTCAAATCAAGTGGCAGATTCCCATGAATATCAAAGGAGAAAACAAAAAAATTCTAAGGCTATAAGAGAATAACGACAACAAAAAATGATACTCCTAGTGTCACAGTCTGCAAGATGACAAGCACTCGGATAAAAAGTGTCAGGTAGTAAGTCCATTTAAAATAGGACTTCGGCCAGGCACAGTGGCTCATGCCTGTTCCCACACTTTGGAAGGCCATGGTAGGCAGATTGCTTGAGCTCAGGAGTTCAAGACCAGGCTGGGCAACCTGGCAAAACCCTGTTTCTACAAAAAATTAGCTGAGTGTAATGGCATATACCTGTGGCCAGCTTTTCAGGAGGCTGAGGTGGGAGGATTGCTTGAGCTCAGGAAGTCAAGGCTGGAGTGAACTGTGATAAATCACTGCACTCTAGCCTGGGTGACAGAATGACATCTTGTCTCAAATAAATAAATAAAATAGCACTTTGTACAATGTACAGGAAAAATGAAGACATACAGGGCTACTCTTCCTGATATAGTAGCAATTGTCATGGATTGAGAGGCAGATACTCAGCATTCTCTCCTGACTTAATAAATGCCCGGCCATGTACCTCTGGACAAGTCACTTAACCCTCAGAGCCCCAGAAGCTCATTCATAAAATCAAATAATGGCTGTTCTACTAACCTCACAGGACACAGATGATGTGTATCAGAGCATTTTAAAAAACTATAAAGTACTATGTGGTTAAATATAAAAAACACTGAGTACCTGCTATGTATAAGGTGCTATAGCAGTGTTAGGTATTGTTACTACACAATGAAGAACACCAGTGTTCAACAGATTATAGAAAAACTGCACACTAGAAACAAGGCTTTAAGCTTTTTAATGGGTTGAAAGCTGAGAATGCAGAATAAACACATCAACATACCTCTAATTGCCTGAAAATTTGATGTAAGAACAAATACTTTGATGAGTTTGAGGCACAGAGGTGTGTAGTCATGTTCCCAAATGACAGCTGGAATCAGCAAGAGTTTTCCGTAGCTGGATAATAATAATGCTTTCAGCAGCAAAATGAAGCTGGGCTTTTCTTTCACCGTCATGGGCAGTTGTACCCACAGGAAGGTAAAAATGCCAATAAAATAGGCAGTTTGTTCTAAAGAGAAAATGGAACATTAAAGTATGAATGTCCCCCTCCAAAATATATCTCCCTAAAAACAAATAAATCACAATTCCAAAATACAGCTTATCAGCTGACTTCTTAACAAATGCTTTCTCAAGATCACAATCTTTTTCTTCTTCTTCTTTTCTTCTTTTTTTTTTTTGAGACGTAGTCTCACACTGTCACCCAGGCTGGAGTGTAATGGTGTGACCTTGGCTCACTGCAACCTCTGTCTCCTGGGTTCAAATGATTCTCCCGCCTCAGCCTCCCAAGTAGCTGGGATCACAGGCACCTGCCATCACGCCCAGCTAATTTTTGTATTTTTAGTACAGATGGAGTTTCACCATTTTGGCCAGGCTGGTCTTGAACTCTTGACCTCATGATCCACCCACCTCAGCCTCCCAGAGTGCTGGGATTACAGGTGTGAACCACTGCGCCCAGCCCTTGTTTTTTTTTTTTTTTTTTTAAAAATAAACCCCTGGCTTTTGTGTCAGATCCTGCTGATATAATTTCAGAAACATTATCTACTGAAGAAAAAGTAACTCCATTAGAATTGTAATCATCAACTTTCTGAAGACCCTTGAAGGAAGTAAGATTCTGCTTCAACATCTTCAGTGTAAGAGATCTCCGAAGAATGAAACAGGAGAATGGAGTCTGACAGATGAGACCTTTCCTGAGAATGGGATTACACAGGAAGACATTTTCCTTTGTGCATTCTTCCACTATTTAAGTGCCTATTATCTACACAACTTTTGAATATTGTTAATTAAGATTTCCTTATTCATTTTAGTAACATCTTAAAATGCAATTCCTTATACTTCCAGAAAGTATTCATAGGACAGAGTCCAGATTAGCAGCAATAGTTCCACTGTGTCCTACAGACAGAACACAGCACAATCTGTTCAGCTCTTATTAACTGGGAATTTAACATCTAACTGTGCTGTAATTTTCAATAGGATTGTTATTCATCTGATTACCCAACTGCTTCCATTCTGAGTGGTCAGTCCCTCATTTATTTTTTTCCCATATAAGCTATGTTATTAGCAGTTTACGTTTCTGCAGAATCAGGTTTCTCTGGAACACACATATTACATTACAGCAGAAACAACTATCTTCTTTTTTAAACTTAATGTAGCCAAACTAAAGAGGTTCCAAAGGTAGGTGATAAGGATCAATAAAAATAATTTAGGATGGTTAACCTCTAGGAAATATGATGCATTCTTCAAAGGAGAGATGCCATCTCCCTTCAAAATAACTAAAAGTCTTGTCAGTTACAAGAATCTACTCAGGTAGATTGTAAAGCTTGGATTTTGGATAAAAATAGTAAAGTAGTAAAGAATTCCTTGAATGAATGAATAGTGAATGAACAGCAAATAACAAGAACCATCTAACAATGGTGGGTTGTCTCCTGTCACTGGAAACACTCAAAGCTACACCATCTCTCAGAAGTCTAGACAAAAAGATTTCTTGCACCAGACAGGCTAGACTAGATAACCTCCACATCTGTTAAATTTAGGATTTATGAGATTTATGGAACTGCACCAGTCCTCAGGCTCTCTCATCAATCAGGTCAGTTCAGTAGGAGCTGCTACCCACCTGTAGAATGCTGTGGTGTGGAAAACACTGAAGGGGAGCTAGGAGACTCACAGTCTCAGTGCTGATACCGACCCACTGTGAGACTTTGGGAAAATCTATGCATTTATGTTTCTGCAGCTGTAGATAGGGGAGCCCCTAACCTACCTACCTCAGAAGATGATTGTGAAAATTAAATAATTCCTGTAAAAGCAGCTTTTAAATTATAAAATGCTATATTTATGTAAGTTTTTCTTTTTAGACAGGGTCTTACTTTGTCATCTAGGCAAGAGTGCAGTGGCATGAACATGGCTCACTGCAGCCTTGGCCTCCTGGGCTCAAGTGATCCTCCTGTCTCAGCCCCGCAAGTAGCTGGGACTACAGGAACATGCCACCCTGCCCGGCTAATTTTTGTATTTTTTGTAGAGACCGAGTATTGCCATGCTGCCCAGGCTGGTTTCCAACTCCTGATCTCAAGCAGTCCACCTATCCTGGCCTCCCAAAGTGCTGGGATTATAGGTGTGAGGCACTGCGCCTGGCCAAGATATTCTTAATAAACTCCTTTTGGGCTATACAGTCTAATTCGGGATTAGACTAAGGTACATAAAAATGTTAATAGTACAAAGAAACTTCCGATTAAGCATCAAAATATCCACTATAGAGTAGTTGCTAAAGGAATTCCAAACCATTTAAAAACAAGCTGGGTTTTTAATAGTATAGTATAAAAAATATGGACCTCTTTAGAAATTTTAAGAGGGGCCAGGAGTAGTGGCTGATGCCTGCAGTCTCAGCACTTTGGGAGGCCTGTATGGGAGGACTGCCTGAGACCAGGAGTTCAAGACCAACCTGGGCAACAGAGTAAGACACTGTCTTGACAAAAAAAATTTTTTTTTAAATTAGCCAGGCACAGTAGCAAGTACCTATAGTCCCAGCTACTCAGGAAAATCAGGCAGGAGGATCCCTTGAGCCCAGCAGCTCTAGGCTGCAGAGAGCTTTGACTGTGCCACTACACTCTAGCCTGGGTGACAAAGCAAGATCCTGACTCTTAAAAAAATGATAATTAAAAAAAAATGTAAGAGGCTTTGAAATTTAAAATTATATTAGGTTCTAGTTTTGGGCTAGGTGATGTGCTCAAGGATGTTTTTAGTGCTATTATGTTTCATAAGATATAAAGGTTAACATATGCTTTTGTATATTTCAAATATTATCTAAAAAGATAATAAAGAAAACATCCACATTATTTTTAAATTGCTGAAAAGTCCAAATTGTATATAAAATTATCGACAGACTGGATATCATGGTGGTTAAACTGTCATAAGCCTTAGTAATTAAATAACAGAGGCAGAGATTTTTCTATGTGTTTTCCATGGATATATCTCTAGTACCTAAAGTAGTAACTGGCACCTAATAAGTATTTAAAAAATATTTCTTAAGGGAATGAATAATAATGAATAGTGAATGAATAATCACTGAGTCTAACTGATGGTGACTTGCTCAAGTTAGAGTGAGTACATGAATGTATGCAATCATTCATTCAATCAGCTGAGCGAATATTTATTGAGCACCTCCTATGGGCCAGACCCCTAAGTGCTTGAGCTACAACAGTGACCAAAACAAAGAGCCCTGACCTCTTTCAGTTGATATGTTAGTGGGGAAAAGCACTAACAAAAGATAATAAATAACTTCTGTTACATAGTAAATAGTAAGTACCATAAGAAACACAAAGTAGAGCAGAAATAGGAGGTCAGGAGTGTCAGGGGAGGGGGTAGTGTTGATCAGAGTACACGTCATTGAGAAAGTGTCATTGCAGCAAACTCTTGAGGGGTATGCAGGAGTCAGACATCTGGACATCAAGGGGACAGGCATTCCAGGCACAGAAAGAGCCACTTCAAAGGCCTTAAGGTGGAAGCTCATCCAGTGTTTCTGAAGCAAGTTAACTAGCGTGGGAGGGTCAGAGTACATATGAGAGATGATAGCTGTGGCTAAAATGAGAGACGTACTGGGAGGGGCAGACCCCAGTACAAGGCCCATGGTAAAGACTTCAGCTTTCACTCTGAGTGAAACGAGGAGCTACTGTGTTCTAGCACAACAGTGACATGATCTGATTTGGTTGAAAAGGATTACTCTGTGTTGTGTGCAAATACACAGTTGGAGAACTAGACTAGCGAACAAGGAGGCTACTATAGTCGTGTAGGTGAAGGGCGAGGGTGGCCTGCATCAGGGTGGCAGCCCTGGAGGGAATGGAGAGTAGTAGTAGTATAATAATACAAGTACTTTGAAGGTGGAGCCAATGGAATTTCCTGATGACCTGACTATGGGGTATCAAAGAAAGAGGTGTCAGGGATGACTGCAAGGCTTTCTGGTTAATGCAACTAAAAGAATGGAGTTACACTTACAACTGAGAAGGGAAAGGCTGTGATAGAGACAGAGAGTTGAGGAGCTTGGCTATGGGTATGGCGATTTATTAGATATCCAGTTGGTGATGTTGAGGAGGCAGATGGATGCAGAGTCTGGAGGTCAGGAGAAAGGTCTAGATTAGAGATGGACATTTCAGAGTTCTCATCAGACAGGTTACATGACCAAGAGAGTGAGAGCAGATAAAGAAAAAAAGAGGATAAAAGAAGACACATAGCCTAGAAATATGGTATTGGAGTGGACTGGAGACTTAGTATGACTAAATAAGATTTCATAATAATCAAAGAGTTGAGAAGCAGAGAAACACAGAACTAGCAATAAAATAGTAACAGCAATTAGTTCAACATGATTCTGACAATAGGAAAATAGTAACTTAAGTCATAAATTCCAATTCTGAAAAGCACTTCCTGAACTTAAGGAGTTTTAGGGACTAGCCAAATTTCCTGCATGCTGTCAGGTAAATAATAAGTAACAAAAAACACTGAACTCTATTAACTACACTGTATTAGTATAATGCAATTAGTATAATACATTGGGTAATGTCTGGCAATTATCTCTATTGATAAAGATAGGACCTAGGTAGCGTTCAGATTGGAGAATCAAAACTTAAACAGCAAGAATTTTATAGGCCAGATACAGTGGCTCACACCTGTAATCCCAGCACTTTGGGAGACTGAGGTGGGAGGACTGCGTGAGCCCAGGAGTTCAAGACCAGCCTGGGGAACATGGAGAGACCCCATCTCTACAAAAAATATAAAAATGAGCTGGAGGTAGTACATGGTGTGGTAGTACATGCCTGTGGTCCCAGCTACCTGGGGAGCTGAGGCAGGAGGATTGCTGGAGCCCAGGAGGTCAAGGCTGCAGTGAGCCGTGACGGTGCCACTGTACTCCAGCTTGGGCAACAGAGTGAGACCCTGTCTCAAAAAAATAAATAAATAAATAAAAATAAAGGAATTTTATCAACAATATTATGCTTCAAAATATTTTAGGAAACTTTCTAATCTGATAAGCCTAACTATTCCCATACCATATATGTGGTAACAAATTTTTAAAAAGCAGGTGATTCAAACACACTCACCTCGTAGGTTAGTAGTGGCACAACTGAAAATTTCATCACAAGTCCTGTATTAACTAGCCTTTCTTACCAATGATTAAGACCACATGTCTTAGATTTAACCAGAGTAGTTAAGTAACAATAGTTAACTAAGAATGGAAAGCCTGAGATCTCCTTACCTAAAGCAGCAATCGCAAACATTCTATAGAAATCCCATTCCTTAGCATATCTGATCAAGTCGTCAGGGGCAGTATTCTGGTTGGAATCTTGAAGCTGCCACCACCTCAGGTATGCTTCACAAAGCAAACAAAATATGCAGAGTTTTCCATGGATCTGATAGTCAAAGACATTGCCATTTAGTTAGGTAAGGAAACAATTGCATTAGTATCAACTGGTATGGATGTAGCGAAGTATTTGTGGTGTCCCACCTAGTCAGTTTTCAAATTCAGAACTCCCCAATTAATTGGCTAATTGTAGTCATTTTGTAATTAGTAAGTTTTAATTACCAATGTCCATCAGCACATGGGGAGATTTTTTTCAAAATATAAATGCCTGAACCCTAGTCCTGATTCAGAATCTTCATAATAAAACACAGACATCTAACAGTTCTGGGGGGATTCTAATGTGCACCCTAGTTAAGAATCACTGCTTTAAGTAATAGTTCACCTTTCATTATGTATTTTTGACTTCTGTCCTTTACAAAGAATCAAGCAAAAAACTTACATGATTCATGTATATGTGGGATCAGCAATAAGAGAACAGATTTAATCTGAAGATTCCATGATACCAAATAAGAAACTATAAATCTGAACATTAATTTAAAAAAAATCTCTGGCTGGATGAGTATAACTCAATATATTAAAAAAAAGAACAATTAAAACCTGGAAGTTCTTAAGAGTCTGAAATTTTGGCTAAAATAAAAAACACTAGGCAACAAAAATTGGCTTTTTTCTAAGTATTCCTCCTTTAGATTGAACTTTCTCCATCAAATTTCTCAATCTTCCAAGTGAGGAAGAAGCTGGGTGTGGTGGCTCATGCTTGTAATCCTAATACTTTCGGAGGCTGAGGTGGGCGGATCACTTGAGGTCAGGAGTTCCAGACCAGCCTGGTCAACATGGTGAACCCCCCATCTCTACTAAAAATACAAAAATTAGCTGGGCATGGTGGTGCATACCTGTAATTCCAGCTACTTGGGAGGCTGAGGTATGAGAATCACTTGAACCCAGGAGGTGGAGGCTGCAGTGATCATGCCACTGCACTCTGTCTAGGTGACAGAGTAAGACTCCATCTCAAAAAAACAAAAACAAAAACAAAAACAAAAACAAAAAAACCCATATATATATATATATATATATATATATATATATATATATGTATATAAAATAAAAGGACATCCAGTTAAATTTGAGTTTCACATACACCATGAATAAATTTTTACTGTATAAGTATGTTCCAGGCAATATTTGGGACATCCTTATACTAAAAAATTAATTCATGGTATATATGAAACTCAAATTTAATTGACTGTCCTGTATGTTATCTGTCAAATCTACCCGCACTATTAAAGAGTTCACAATTCAATACACTTAAAGTATATTTTGAAAAATCAACTGTATAAATCATGATTTTGATTAAACTGAATGTTATTTACCTTATACATTAATAGCAAAGCATAAACTGCAATAAATTGTGTGTGTGGTTTTATTTATTTATTTTTGAGCCAAAGTCTTACTCTGTCACCCAGGCTGGAGTACAATGGTGCTCACCACCACGCCCAACTAATTTTTATATTTTTTGTAGAGATGAGGTTTCACCATATTGGCCAGACTGGTCTTGAACTCCTGACCTTGTGATCTGCCTGCCTCGGCCTCCCAAAGTGCTGGGGTTACAGGTATAAGCCACCGTGCCTGGCTAAATTTTTTTTAAAAAACGTTTTTCTTTTAATGTTTGGTTACTTCATTTAGGTCTAATCCTCTCCCTACCTGATATGTCTAATTATATTCTGTTCAAAACCAGTGATGTCTGTTTCAATTTACTAGCAGGTAATTCAGATTATGGCTTGTCTGTTTCCTGCCAGTGACTACATTCTTAAACACTTGCTAAGCATTGTGCAGCTTTTAAAATCAACATCTGTTATTTCTATAAACTTCCAGATATGTTGCAATAAAAGAATCACTCTCGTTAGAATTTCTTTTCTCCTTTTATAATATTCTTTTGCTTTAAAATTCTTATTATTCTTTTAAAATGCAACAGCATCAAATAAAATTAAAAAATAAAATGATCACAACTTACATTTATTTGAGTATTGAAAAGAATATGTCTGTAGGCCTGAGCTTTGCATAATATAGCATTAATCAAGATGATAACAGGATCATACTCGATATATTTGTCTACAGGTTTCTGGCAGGATTTCTGAAATAATGCAAGATGATATTAGAACAAGCAAATGTATACTTTCTGAAATCCTCAAGGATTTCAAAACAGCAGTCTATTTTGGACACATATAACAATATGGCCTTATTAACAATTATTTATATAAACGTCCACTCAGATACAAAATGTTCATCTATATAAGAAGTGGTTTCAGAAAGGACCAAATATAATCTTCTAGCGTAGGAATATTAATATTTTAACCTTAGGTTCAAGAAGCTAAAAATATATCTAATTTAAAGACTGAGTTTAGGCAGGAAAGTATTCCAGAAGATTTTACTTTCAATAAAATCTCTGTAGAGACTCTATATGCAATTCTACTTTCAATTTGTAGAAATTATTATAAAATAAATACATTTATAATGCACTGTCATTGATAAATTGTTGCCTCTTGGCTAGATGGCCCCGACTTTATGGTTCTTGGCACATGATTTGGAGAAAAGTATTCAGCAAAGTCACCTTGTCCCCAGAACTATTGAGAGCTCCAAGTAGGTAAGGAATGGGGCAAATCCCAATGATCCTGAGGCAGCTGATAACAGGGGAAGCCTGGGTTTCTCTCCAGTAATATCAAGGATATGGAAAGAAAATGGTCTTTCTCTGCTAGAGTAGGGACAATGGAGAGTGCTGGGCTGTGTGTAAGGAACTGGGCTCTGCACCTGGCTCTAGGTTCCAAAATCAAGGCTCCCTTGGCTCTTAGCAGTTCATATTAAATGGCTTTTCTTTCCCCCTGAAGGGTCACCTATTTAGAATTCAGATTCTCTAGACACATGTGATTATCATGTTACCAAATCCCAACACTACTAGAACATAAAAAATGCAGGTTACACAAACAAACTCATTAGAAATGTGACCTCTAAAGCAGTACTATTCACAGAGTTGCATCAATGCTACTATTCACTTTATAAAACTACAGCAGTCCTCCCTTAGCCACAGTTTTGCTTTCTACAGTTTGTTACCAAAGGTCAACAACATTCTGAAAATATTAAATGGAAAAATCCAGAAATAATCATAAGTTTTAAATTGCATACTGCCCTGCTCCCCTGCCCAGGATGTGAATTACCCCTTTGTCTAGTGTGTCCACATTGCAGATGCTCCCCGCCTGTTAAGGCATTAGTCACTGTCCAGGTTATCAGGATTGAGGATCAGGTATTGCAATGCTTGTGGCTCAAGTCACCCATATTTGACATTTTTCTTTTTTTTTTTTGGAGATGGAATCTTGCTCTGTCACCCAGGCCGGAGTGCAGTAGCATGAACTCGGCTCACTGCGACCCCCACCTCCCAGGTTCAAGCAATTTTCCTGCCTCAGCCTCCTGAATAGCTGGGATTACAGGTGCATGCCACCATGCCTGGCTAATTTTTGTATTTTTAGTAGAGACGGGGTTTCACCATGTTGGCCAGGCTGGTCAGGAACTCCTCACCTCAGGTGATCCACCTGCTTTGGCCTCCCAAAGTGCTGGGTTCACAGGCGTGAGCCACCGTGCCCAGCAACCTTTATTTGACTTAATAATGGCCCCAAAGCATGATAGTAGTGATCCTGGCAATTTGGATATGCTCAAGAGAAGCTGTAAAATGCCTGAAGTGAAAAGGTGAAAGTTCTTGACTAATAAGGAAAAAAAAAATCTTATGCTGAGGTCGTTAAGATCTATGGTAAGAATGAATCTTCTATCTGCAACTGTAAAGAAAAAAAATTGTGCTAGTTTTGCTGTAGCATTTCAAACTAAAAATTAAGGCCACAGAATATGAGAAGTGCTAAGATGGAAAAGGTAGGGCCAGGTGCCATGGTTCACATCTGTAATACCAGGCCTTTGGGAGTCAGGTGGGAGGATGGCTTGAAGCCAGGAGTTTGAGGCCCTCCTGGGCAAGAAAGCAAGACCCTGTCTCTGTCTCTCTCTCCAAAAAAAAAAAGGAAAAGGCATTAAATTTGTGGGTGGAAAGCATGAACAGAAACATTCTCCAACTGATGGTAACTAGGTTCTGTACTATCTATGGTTTCAGGCACTCACTGTGAGTCTGGAATGTATCCCCCAAAGATAAGGGGGACTACTGGAATGGCTCCAATTCAAATACGCAACATTTGGAAACTTTGAGAAGATAAAATAGAAGAGTGATGAGTGTAAAAACATTCTAGGCTGTCCTTTTAATTAAAGTGATGGAAGAAAAATGAAGTGCACTGAAGAATATTAACCCTGCAATTCAAATGTAATAAAACATTGGATGTGTTCCCAATTTAAATAGTTTCTCCACTTCATTTGTGTCATTATAGAAATAGAAATGTTTTCTAGTTATTGAGTGATCCAATGAAAGGAGGGAGATATACTGTTACCTCAAACTTAAATCTGCTTAATCAAACTGAAGCATAAAGAGTTGATATTTTTGGAGTTCTTTACCTGAGCAGGGAGTATGCCAGCATCTAAACAGAAGCCCCAGAATCAGAAATTCCACGTCCATGACAAAGAGCAGTTTGATAGGTCTCCCTTGGCTACTCATGTGGAACACACCTCCTCCCTTTCTACATGCAAGATTGGGACCCCAGAGAGGCTGCTTCATGTTAAAATGGAAACCCTAAGAAGGCAGGGACCTTTCTCTGTCCTTTAAATGTTCTCTAAGACCCATTTTTGGATAGCATCACAAGTCTAAGGCTGGGGATTTGGACAATACTTGGAAGGAGATAGGCAGAAACCAGTACCAGGAGACACAGCAGTTGTTACTCCTTTTGCATTCATTTGTTTGACAAGTGTCTTTGGAGTGGCTATTGCATGCATAACAACTGCTCTCTTTTCTTGGCCATTTTATGGACCAAGAACTTACAAGGTGCTAGATATTCACCTTCAGCCAGTTTGTATCAAGGACCTAATAGTTTAGAAGCAAAAGACAAACATGTCTCTACGATATGGTCTGATGACCACTGTCATCAGACTATGTAGCATCCAAGGCTACAATGGGATGAGCATAGGGTGACATGAAATCAAACAAAGGAGGCAGCTTCTGGTACTATGTGATATGCTATGTGCTTTGCCCATTTCCCTTCTTAGTATCCAGAGTGTTTTATAAATGCTGAGAAGTCATTAAAGTCTGCTGGTTCCCTCAGTCAGTTTAGACCTAACATTTCTTGTTCTCTATTATTTGCTTTTCCCTTAAGTGCTGCTTTCAACTTCCTTTCCCTCTACCTTCACCTTGAATGTAAAGAGGAAAACCACACACATACACACAAACACAAAACAAACAAATGCAGATATTCCAAAACAGACCATTGGGAGTTGTATTTATTAAATTTAGTATATACGTTTCTTTTCTTTTCTTTCCTTTTTGAGACAAGATCTTACTCTGTAGTCCAGGCTGGGGTGCAGTGGCAGGATCTCGGCCCGCTATAACCTCTGCTTCCTGCGCTCAAGCAATCCTCCCACCTCAGCCTCATGAGTAGCTGGAGCTACAGGTGCGTGCCACCATGACAGCTGATTTTTGTAGTTTGGTAGAGACAGGGTCTCACCATGTTGCACAGGCTGGTCTTGAACTCCTGACCTCAAATGAGGTCTGCCCATTCAGGCTCCCAAAGTGCTGGAATTACAGGTGTGAGCCACCATGCCTGCTTAGATTTAGCAAATGTTTTTTATTTTGGCAAATTGTTTCATTTACTACTTTATAGGCAAGTATCCTGAAAAGGGAAAAATCTTCCTCTAAAGAATCCCTACAACACAAGAAGGACCATGCATACTCTGGGAATTCAGGCTGCTTCCACCACCTGTCTTTTTTTTTTTTTTTTTAAGACGGAGTCTCACTCTGTCGCCCAGGCTGGAGTTCAGTGGTGCAATCTCGGCTCAATGCAACCTCCACCTCCCGGTTCAAGCGATTCTCCTGCCTCAGCCTCCTGAGTAGCTGGGACTACAGGCATGCACCACCACATGTGGCTAATTTTTGTATTTTTAGTAGAGATGAGGTTTCACCATGTTGGTCAGGCTGGTCTCAAACTCCTGACCTCATGATCCACCTGCCTCGACCTCCCAACGTGCTGGGATTACTGGCATGAGCCACTGCACCCAGCCCCCACTACCTGTCTTAACATGGATATGACTTCCTTTGTCCTGCTGTGTTCTCCAATGCCTAAACGAATCGGGTCTCTTTTAGAATATAAATTGGCCAAACCAATTTTTTCTTAAATATTCTTACTGTTTCCTTCCTGGTCATCTCTAGGAGCACTCCCTTCCCTTCTTTAAGTCTTTAAGCTACTCAAGGGTAGGGCTGTGTCTTATTCATCTTTGAATCTAGCATCCTAAGGGTGGGAGCCAAAGGCTGTAGTGCTGAAGGGAACGGAAACTTAGGAGAATCTTATAGGAGTTTTGTTTTGTTAATGTAATAATGAATTTATCAAATATCTGAGCACTTAAAATAAGCCAAGCCCTATAGCAAATTAAAAGCACTGTATCTTTAAGCATAATTATAATAAATTGTGAAGAGCTGAAGCGGCAGGATTGGCTAAAAACAAGAGCTATATGATATATTAGATAGAGGAAAGTCAGACAAACACAGAAAGGCAAGCTGGGAGGAATGGCAGTGGAAAAACAAGCAGAGCAAAAGGAAAGGAGATTGGGATGAAAAATACAAGAGGGCAATCAGCCCGAGTATCTTGCTGACTCCATGTTTAGCAGGGAAGAGACCAAAGTATGTATGAGTAACCACTTAGAAACTTGGGAGACTATGTCACAACAAATAGTCTAATGTCTAAAAACTTCTTACTTTTTATATCTCAGAGGCTGGAGAGCCTTTAAAGGAATTAACCGCTTCATGGTTTAATTTTTTAGCCTGACATCAATGAAATGATTTTTCCTGAGTCACGCTATTATGGTTAAAGTTTAGTATGCATTAGCATGATAGAGACAAGGCCATTACACACTCCAACTCATTACAGAATGACTGTGGACAATAACGAATCCATAAAGTACCATGCCACCATTCAACGTGCCAAGTATAACTCCAAAATCTGTCTGCTGGGAGAAAGAGTATGATGTTAGGGAAAAAAAGGGAGGGGGGATGTGAATGTTGACCTAAACAGCGATCCAATAATTATTTTGCCTTTCCATAAATAAAAGAATAAACACCTGTGGTTTAGCAAAGGGATTTTGTTAGCTTAATGCTAATAAAAAGAGATTATTTTGTATTATTAAAGACTACCAATTTTTCTTCAGACAAGTTATGTGGTTATCATCTTCCAAATGGACCATTTAATTGGACCAATCCGACAGTTACTAAGTTTAGACCACATATAAGATCTTGTTCTCTTCCTCCTACCTGGATGGCCAAGCACATGCTAATCTAAAAATCTGGAAGTGATACATTTATTCAACAGATATTTACTGAGTGGCTACTAAGTGTCAGTCACTGTTCTGGGTGATACAGCTACATTAATGAGTAAAAGGGACAGAATGTCTGTCCTTGCAGCTTACTTTCCAGTAGGAAAAGACACACAACAATAAGCCAATTACATACAAGATTACAAGAAGATCGGTGCAATGGACAAAGATAAAGCTGGGAAGCATATCATACTTTTCAATAGGGTAGTCAGAGTAGACCTCTCTGAGATGTTTGAAAAAGTACTTGAAGGAGATAAGGGAAACAGTCACACAGATACTTGATAGAATAGTATCTATCTAGTACCTGCTCCAGGAATTGTGCAAAGGCCCTGAGGAAGGAACCTGCCTGGTCTGAGAAGCACCAGGAGGCTAGTGGGACTGATGTAAAATAAGGAAGGGAAAGAGTAGCAGGAGACTACACAGGGCCTTATAAGCCGGTTCAAGGATTCTGGCCTTAACTCTAGGATGAAAAATCATCAGAAAGTTTTGGTCAAAGGGGTGATATGATCTAACTTACATTTTTAAAAGATCAGTTCCTGGCTACTGTGTGGAGAGAAGACTGAAGAGGTGCGAGGATGATGCAGAGACACCAGACAGAAGTTACAATAGTTCAGGTAGACGTGATGGTGGCTTGGATGAGGATGTAGCAGCAGCAGGAGTGAACGTAGTGGATTCTGAAGATGATTTGAAGATAGAACAGGATTTGCTGAGTAACTGAATATGGGATGTGAGAGGAGCAGAAATAGGGATGACTCCAAGGTTTCTTTATCTTAGAAATTAAAATGGTAAAGTTGCCACTGTGATAGGGTATTTGAGGTGTCTATTGAAATCCAAGTGGAGAAGTCAAGCAGGTAGTTGGACATTTGAATCTGGAATTCAGGGAAGAGGTTCAGGGTAGAGATATAAATTTGGAAATCATCAAAATAAAGCCATGAGACAGAATGAGCTCTTCAAGGGAAACCATGCAGACAGAAGGAGGCCCAATGACTACACCTTGGAATACAGCACAATTAAGAGAAGGTGAAGCAAAAGAAAGGAGTTTGAGGGGTAATAGCAGGTGAAGTTAGAAGACAACAAGAAGCACACTGACTCCTGGTAAGCACATACAGCATTAAGGAGGAGGATGCAATGAGGTAAAATGCTGGGATTACAGGCATAAGCCACTGTACCTGGCCCTGTTACATTTCCTTAGTTTACTCACATTCCCACTCTTTATGACAATCATCACGTAACATTTCTCCCTTTGAATTTCGCATGTGTCTTCCTGTTACACTAAGAAAATAGAAAAGAACTTCTAACAGGTTTGCTGATCATTAACTGAGACAATCAACTACTGGATTTAGCAAATTGGAAGTGGTGATCTTAACAACAGTTTCTAATGAAATGTGGGTGGGAACCTGACTAAAGCAGGTTCAAAAGAAACTAGGAAAGGGATAGTACAAACATATCTTAGAAGAAGGGGGAAGTGGCATCAAGTGTATTTTGTTGGTGGTATTGGTTTTATTGTTTTTGATGGACGACAGTATGTATGCTGGTGGGAATGATCCAGCAGAAGGCAGAAAAAGAGTACAGTAAAGAAATAACAAATGCTTGTATTGGGTTTATGTTGTTGCAAATCTGTTAGAAGTTCTCTTCTGTTTTCTTAGCATAACAGGAAGACACATGGGAAATTCAAAGAAAAGTTATGTGATGATTGTCATGAAGAGTGGGAATGTGGGTGGACTAAGAAAATGTAACAGGGCCAGGTACAGTGGCTCATGCCTGTAATCCCAGCACTTTGGGAGGCTGAGGCGGGCAGATCATTTGAGGTCAAGAGTTCAAGACCAGCCTGGCCAACATTGTGAAACCCTGTCTCTAATAAAAATACAAAAATTAGCTGGGCATGGTGGCACGTGCCTGTATTCCCAGCTAATTGGGAGGCTGAGGCAGAAGAATCGTTTGAATTTGGGTGGTGGAGGTTGCAGTGAGCCAAGATTGCCCCACTGCACTCCAGCCTTGGTGACAGAGGGAGAAAAAGGAAGGAAGGAAGGAAGGAGAAAGGAAGAAGGAAGAAAGAAAAGAAAGAAGGAAAGGAAAGCAAAGGAAAGACGGAAAAAAGGAAAGGAAAAGAAAGGAAAAAGGAAAGGAAAAAGGAAAGGAGAAAGGAAAGGAAGAAAGACAATTGCCAGACAGCATGAAGGGCCTATGTGAGGTAAATGGTCACGAATTTAAGTTGCTTTCCCCAGCAACTTACAGCTGCACGGGTTCAGGGACAGACCGGGCAATATACTGGATTTACAAGGATTGACATTTTGACAAAGGAGGGGAAGCATTTGAGAGAGGAACAGGAAATTGCGGGTGTACGCACCAGAACGTTAAGTGGTTGACACTAGATTATACAGGTGTATACTCAGTTTGTCTATTCTCTTGTATATTACTACAGACCATAATTTACTAAAGAGATTATCAGAAAATCACAAGATCTGAAATGGAACAAAAATGTACTGTCTACTCTGTGACAGGTTCTTTGTTAATACCCCCAAAGAACCTCCAACTTTGTAGACTCTTTAAACATAGGATTATTCTCTCTTAATGAACTACGAACACCTTGAAACAAAAATTTTTACTTCCTTACTTTTGGGTTTTGTACCACCAACGTCTAGAATAGCGCTTTGTACTCAGTAGACATGCAATAACTACAATTGATGAAACCTTTAAAATGCATCGTAGGTGAATTCAACATGGGTGTGGAGGGTAAGGATGGTACCACCTCTCTGTCAAAGATAGAAGAGCTAGAATGAAGTAGCTTTGGCATGAACCAAAATGTCAACCTAGTTCGATCTTTAAATTTCTCTGCAAAATGTCCACATCTGTCTGTCTGTCTGGTCCGCTCGCCGGCTTAGGTCATATCACCCAAATATGCCCCAGTATGAGAAAAGCGCTGTCGGATAGTTGAGTTCTCGGGCGGGAATGTCAACCACCGAACTAACGACAGTATCAGAGGACCCTGCTCCTCCCTGTCCCCAAGTCCCGCCGCGCCATTTTCTTCCCAAGGACACCCCACACCTGACAACTCACACAGATGGTTATCTTCAGCACACCGTGGTTATAGTCTCGGTACAACTCTTTGGCCTCCTGGTTGCATTCGATGCACCTGTACTGGCAGGAGGCCGAAGCAGCAGTAGGAGTCGCTGCCACCCCTTCCGCGTTCCCCTTCCCCTGCTGCAGCCCGCTCCGCCCGCCGTTGCCCATTTTCACTCAACGGCGGCCCAGAACTTCCGATTCTGTAGCGGGTAAGACGTCAGACGCCAGACCGGAAGACCTGCGCAGCGCGCAGCTTGTTGGGATTGGTAGTCCCAGTACCGGCAAGGCGGCCCGGGGCTGGCCGAGCTGGGACTACCGTTCCCAGCATGCAATGCTTCTCCCCTTGCCCCGCCCTCTTGCCACGGTCCACCTGTCCGCCGTGGGTTAGAGGCGGGGAGGCCTGAGAGCGGGGCTAGGGCTGCCGCACATGCGCCTTGAGGGAAGATGGCACCTGCCGGCTGCTGCTGCTGCTGCTGCTTCTGGGGCGGCGCTGTGGCCGCCGCGGGCGCCGCCCGGCGTCCCCTGCTGCTGCTGCTGCTGCTGGTGGTCCTCTCCGCCGGGCCGCGGCTAGGCGCCCTGGCCACCGAGCACTACTCGCCGCTCTCCCTGCTCAAGCAGGAGCTGCAGCACCGGCAGCAGCAGGAGGCCCCAGCGGGCGGCGGCGGCTGCAGCCCGCAGTCCGGGGACTGGGGCGACCAGTACTCTGCCGAGTGCGGCGGTGAGTGCGCGGCGGCGCGGGGCGTCCGAGTCGGCCGGGTCCGCTGGGCTGCGGGGCTGGGGTCCGGGGCCGGGGTACGGGCCGCCCGGGCCTCACCCCTCCGGCTGCGGCGCGCGCTCCGCGGGATCCGGCTCCGCCAGGGGTCCGGTCGGGCGACTTCCCGCCGCTGCCACCCACGCCGCCGCGCGCCCTCCTGCAGCCGCCTTTGGGCAGGGCGGCGAGTCGAGAAAAGAGCTGACAGCATGCTCCCGGGGCCAGGGCGGCCTCTCCCGAGTCTGAAGCAACTGTTGGAAGGGTGGCAAGGGAGATGGCAGGTGGCCCGGGGCAGCCCTGTTCCCGCCGCCGGCCTCTGGAGGATGCCAAGGGGGCGAGGGAGGGGCAGGCGGAGGAGCGCCCAGCCCGGCGGCTTGCGGAGCCCGCCCCCGGAGAGAGACGCCTGGACCATCTTAGGCCTGGAAATCAGGTTTCCTGACCTCCCGGGCTAATGTCTTGTATTAAACAGTTCCTAAAAATTCAATCCCTGGAATGGGAAAAAAAAGAGCAAGCGCATTTTATCTGCTTGTAGACATCTTGCTTCCAGCTGTTTAAGACTGACCTGTGATCTGTCAGGTGTCTCCCAGAGGGAAAAACGGCCCCTGCAGGCCTTGAGCCTATGTCAGTGCCGTGTGTGTATTGGAGGTGCGCCAGCTCATTCATTAAGAATGGGAGCTATTGGCCTTAGTTTAATAAATCATAGCAGATGCCTTTGGGACAAAATACATGTGTACATTTTTTTGTTTTGAAGTTGTCTTGGGTCTTTTTACCCATCAATCCCTCCCTTTCTCTTTCCCCTTTCTCTTTGTGAGTTCCCTTATGGCTTGGTTTGGAAAGGGCCTGGGTTAACCAAACTCACTTGGAGATGGTCGGTTGTTTTTAAGACTTGGCAGCAGTTTTCTTCAGCATTGTGTACCTGGGAAAACAATACCTTTTTTTTTTTTTTTAAGTTGAGATGGGACGTCAAGATTAGCACAATCTGATTTCCTTTTAGCACAATCTGACTTCCGTGAGGAAGTGTCATTCACTGAGAGGTATGTGACTTTTTTATTTTGTAGTAGGCCTTAGCTGGTAACAGTGTAAATAACACAGCCAGCCTTGCACAGTGGAAAGAGAATGGCGTTTACTTACTTCTGTCACTTTCTGTATCTCTGAGCAAGTGAATTACCTGTCTTTGCAAAATGCCTCCTTTGTAAGTGGAAAACATTGTTGACCTAATTGTGGGGTTTTATTTTCTTCACGAGGGTGCTGTGAGGGAAATGAGAAGTAGCTGACATATATTGGGTGCTTGCTGTATGCCAGGTGGTGTTATAAATGCTTTAAGTCTATGAGCCTAGTATGTTAGTCTATCAGAAAAACAAGAACCACCTTATTAGTAGTACTTATATTTTCTAGCTTGGAATTTAAAATGTACTGTTGCAAATGAATGACCTGAGTCTTTCAGATCACCTGTTGGTAGCTGTGTGAGTAGCCACCAACAGGTGCTAAGTGGGTTGGCTGCTGCTGCGGTCACCTCAGTAGATGGTGGCTCATTTTCTCAGATGAGCAAACTGAAACATAGTGTAACTGTCATCTTCTTGAGATCCCACAGCTGTCAAAGGAGGAACCCACGTAGCCGGGCTCCAGACAGCTTTTGTCTTAACCCTTAAGTGGTTGTAGGTAGGCAAACCACATTGGTAGTATTTACTTGCATATGGTGCATGTTGGGTAAATTTCCCTTTCCCCTTTTCTCCTTTGGTTATGTGGTGCTCACTGGCTAAAGAAGCCCCAGCCTTTAGACAGTAGAAGGTATATGTCGATTAATATGAAATCTATTGGTATTATTGATGCCGGTGGCTCATTTGATTCTTTGTCATCAGGCTAACACCAGTATTTAAGAACCCTTTTTCAAGCCAGCTTTGACTTGTATTATGATTTTTCCCCGGAGGATCAACACTGTATCATGAAGCTTTAAACATAATTTATTTAGATGCTTCTACCTTCTTTTCACTCTCCCATGTAGTACTTATTTTTTCTAGCTTGGAATTTAAAATGTACTGTTGCAAATGAATGACCTGAGTCTTTCAGATCACCTGTTGGTAGCTGTGCGAGTAGCCACCAACAGGTGCTAAGTGGGTTGGCTGCTGCTGCGGTCACCCAAGAAGTCATTTCCAGAGTCAACTACTTGAAGCTCCGGCTGTTTCCCTCGGCTGTCTTGGCTGCCATATGTGACAAAAGCCAACTCTGTTGTTGTAGGAGCTACTGAAATGCTTCTCATTTCTCTCTCTTTGACCTGGACGACTATGTAGAAGCTGAACCCTATAAAACCTGCTTCATTTCTTCTCTGTCCTAGGATGTGGGGATGAATTCAGGATTTACAACTAACTATGCCATAGCCTGAGGGACAGCTGATGCTCTGTATTCGGAACCCCATTTGGGCAACGTTAGGGTCTAGACAAATGTCAGGATCCAGAACTAGTCAGTTCTTCAGAATCATGCAGACTTGACTTCACCAAGAATTGATCATGCCATCGTTACTTGCTTGCCTGTCCAAAACCTGTTCATATCAATCCAGCGCATATCCTGAGGACAAACCCAGCAGCACAACCAATTTTCAGAATCTTTCTCACAGCTTTCAGGTTCAAATGGCTGAGCTGATGCCTGCTTGGGTCTAAATTTAAATCTGTATACCTTTTTATGAGCAGTATATGTATTCTCTTGAGACAGAACTGCCAGTGATTGTACATACAAGGACAATGGCTGGAGGGAGCCCACCAGTCCAAAGACAGCACACTGGCAATGTCTGGCCCAGCTGTGCATACCACCATCACATGGAATCCAGGCCCCAGCGAACAGCCTAATGCTTAGTGGGCTGAGCCCTACCCAGATCCACTGCAGAGGTGACAGGCATGGATGCCCCTCTGGTGCCATATGTCTTAGCCTGAGCTTTGCATGTGTCCTGATCCCCCTTTCACATATTCTACTCCAGCACATTTTTACATTTTACCTTTTGCCCAGGAGGTAGTTCAGTGGTGCTATCACAGCTCACTGCAGCCTCAAATTCCTGGTTTGAAGCCATCCTCCTGCCTCAGCTTTCCAAGTAGCTAGGACTACAAACATGTGCCATCACCCCCAGCTAATTTTTTTTTTCTTTTTTCTGTCAAGACAGGTTCTGGTTATGTTGCCCAGGCTGGTCAAACTCCTGGAATCAAGCAGTTCTTCTACCTCATCCTCCCAAAGTATTGGGATTACAGGCATGAGCCATCATGCCTGGCCCATGCTATTTTTAATCACTATTTTACAAACTGAGACAAAGAGGAGTTAAGGTTACACAGTAAAGAGTAGAGCCAGGATTTGAACCTGACCTGATCATTTGTGTGTTATCTTCTGTAATAGTTGCATATTAATATAATTTAGTATAATTTCTTACTAATATTAAAGTCCTATACTCTTAAACTTCGTTGAAAGTTATATTCTTGCCGGGCGCGGTGGCTCAAGCCTGTAATCCCAGCACTTTGGGAGGCCGAGGCGGGTGGATCACGAGGTCAAGAGATCGAGACCATCCTGGTCAACACTGTGAAACCCCGTCTCTACTAAAAATACAAAAAATTAGCTGGGCATGGTGGCGAGTGCCTGTAATCCCAGCTACTCGGGAGGCTGAGGCAGGAGAATTGCCTGAACCCAGGAGGCGGAGGTTGCGGTGAGCCGAGATCGCGCCATTGCACTCCAGCCTGGGTAACGAGCAAAACTCTGTCCC